ACCTAAGAGCGATGGCCTCCAGCCTACTAGCGATGGCCTCCAACCTACGAGTGATGGCCTCCAACCTAGTAGCGATGGCCTCCAACCTTATAGCAATGGCCTCCAACCAAATAGCGATGGCCTCAAACCTAAGAGCGATGGCCTCCAACCCGCTAGCGATGGCCTCCAACCTACTAGCAATGGCCCAGCCTCCAACCTACCAGCGATGGCCTCCAACCAAAAAGAGCGATGGCCTCCAGCCTAATAGCAATCAGGAAAAGATAAGAAAAGTCCACCAACTTTGGCTTGATTTTTCCCACCGGCTCCACTGATCTCCATTCCTTCCCAAAAAAAATATAGAATGTGAAAATGAGTCAGTTGTCCATAAGCCACTTTGCTGGTTTGAGCCGTGCCTGAGCCGCAGCATCAGCCACTTTGCTGGTTTGAGCCTAAGACAGTCCATCCCCCCAATGTCCATCAACTCAGTCCTGTAGTAACACAAGCCTGGCTCTAGACTCTAGTGTGGGAAAGCACTTGAACTTTCTTGAACCATTCCAAGGATGCTCCCCCTCTGCACATGGAAATCAGGTGGCTCCTCCCTGTAGCTCTTGGCAATTGTCCATGAGGCTCTGGCCTCCAAAATGCGCTCCATGCGCACGTTCATTGTGACCTCGCTCAAGGCACACTCTGTGCTGGGAAGTTTCGGTCTTTCGGCCGTTCCGGTGCAGAAAGGCATCACATCTCATCACATCTCATCACATCTCCAAATGTGTTTCTGCATCGCTACTAGGAGCAAGGACGCTACTAGGGGCTCCTGGCCGTACTACTAGGAGCAAGGACGCTACTACATTTCAGGGTCTCTCAGGGAGGACGTTTCAGCTTGTTGAAACGCTCACGGTCAAGGCTGGTCCGTTCTGGATCAGGCTCCAGCCAAATCTTGTCGGAAGGTATCCAAGTGCGGTGGGGAGCCTGCCCGGCAGGGAAGTGGTGCGAGCACGATGGCACGCTAGGTATCTAGGTGCACTTCATGTTGTCTCTGCATGACTATGGTCGAGGGCTGCAACCTTGGGCTCCCTTACGCACAAAGTTGAACGAAGTTGGAACTTTTGGCAGAATATACCCAGGCACAGTGTTTGCTCAAAGAAAGGGCGCCGTGGAACACTGGTCTATGACCTTTGCACGCGCATTCACATTTTCCGGTTGGCAGCGGAAAAGGAACGAATTGCCGCTGGACATCCGCGAACACTCGCGGAGTAACTCGGCTTCAAGCCGTTCTGGCCTTTTTGGATGATGGTTCTTCCGACTCATCGGCCCCGTCAGGCTGCTGATCAGGAGCATTGTCTGCTTCCGGATTAGCTTCCTCCAAGTTGACCTCCTCATCATACTCGGCCATTTCTTCCTCCATGCCCTCTATGTAGAAGCCTTCACTTCGCCACTGCGAAACTGTCATGGGCGTTGCTCTTAATGCGGGATCTATTCCATGAGGATTGGCCAAAAAGGCTTGTTGGGCTTGCACCAACAATTGGCCAGTCTCTTTGTGGCCCAATTTTTGAATCAAGTGATCTACATTGAGTTGACCATCTTCGTCTATGCTCGATACCTCACTTGGAAAGTGCTCATCCAAAATAGCGCAATCAATTGGAACAAGCATCTCGTTATCCTCCAGATGACCCGGATAAGAAAAGGCTTGAAGCAACTCATCGCTGATCTCCTCGTCATTCTTCAACTTCCTCAGCCGCAGCTTAGCTTTTCGCAATTCGCTTGGGTGGGGGGCCATGGTTCAAGGAGCTGTATCTTGAGAGGTTGCTTCAGTCATTACAAGGCAATTCATCCGCCACTCCTATATACTTCCAAATTGGTGAGACGTTTCATAGTTGTCGCGTGGTTTCAGATTCAAACAAGCCTCATTTTGACCACCAGCAGGGCTTTCTGTGGAACGAAGAACACATGTTCCTCATATTCAGGCCCTTCATCCGCTTGCAGTGCCATCTGGTGCGTTTACGCTCCGACCACGGAAGAGCGGTGAAGTCGAAGCAGAGGGGTCGTCTTTCACATGATCTGACAGAGCAGAAGCAGCTTCTCTTCGCTTTGAGCCAGATTTTGCCCATCGAGTTGACAAGAAACCAAAAGGTTATACAAACCTACACTAAATAAACACAAACCTCATGCAGCCCTTTCAAAGGGTTCCGCATCAGCAGGTGCCACCGGCTTGTGAGTGGATCTGTGCGCAGTGGCAGCAAGAAAGCTTTTCTAGCATCAAGGTCTATACCAAGATCAAGGTCAATAACAATAAGATATCAACACATTTGATCTCATTTCCATGTGCGAATCACCCTCACTTGCCAGCTGATTGGCTTTCCAAAGAGGTCTCCCCGCCTTCTCGAGCATCCATCTTGTTACGCGACATGGAGATCCGATGCGGTAAGTAGTATGGCGGGTGGACACCGGGTGGACGAGGAGTGGGATTCAGTTGGGGGAACAGGATGTGAAGCAATGTACAGGGTATGTAACGGAAGGCGATGCATTTTCCCGCCTCTCCTCGCACAACAAGGCACCAAGTGTTTTAGTTTTGTTTTTGTTTTAACCATCTGGGGTGCAAGGTCTGTCACCAAACTGCATGCAACAACTTGTTTAGAATATGCCAGGGGCCCTGGGACTTTACCCAACTCTGGGGATGGTTCAGCGTGTTGAATGTCAACAGTATATCATTAAGAAAACAGTCATGCGTAACGGGCGGTGTTTGTCTGAAGTGCTACAGTGATTAAGATTAATGACTATTCCTGGCATGAGTCAGCCTGTTGACAGCTAATTTACTTTTCTGTAATTAGGACTGACTGATTTGACAAGTCTTGCGGGTGGTCCGGCCTTGACCTAGTCAACATTATCATCATTAATTATGTAATAAGATCCAATAAATCTAAATGTCCTTGTCCTTGATGCGACCGTTTACGCTGCAGCCAAACATGCTTGCGCGACGTCGACGTGACTAACGGACTGGCGCACAGGGGACGCAGGTCGGGTGCAGGTCGCAGGTCGGAAAAACCGACTTTTTTTGGAAAAGAACCATTGACGTAATTGGCACTAATGGTTCTACATTGCCACTAACGTCACTAGTCACTAATGTAGAACCTTGATTTCGACGACCGCTATAGGATGGGCAATGCCAAAGATCAAACCGGACCAAACCCAAGTCACTCACATACTGGCTTACCTGAGGAGTGCACGAAGCCCTTCAAATACACACGACCTGGCGGGATTCTGATTCGTCTGACATTCTACTTACTTCCTGTATCTTCCTGTAGCTGTTCGATGCTTTTCGCCCTGCATGCCTTTCAGCCGCGCACTTTCATAGCAGCATGACATGATGTGTGTTGCCATTATCAAGACCACCAATTCAAACATCTTTGCTTCATGTGACTCTAATGCGGGTGCTCTATGAAGAATTTCATGCCTCACAAAAACAGAAGCTTCTCCACGAACAAGAGGAATTTGGCGACTTCCCTGCCTCGGTTGGCCAACACAGCAAAGACTTTCAGCCAACATGGAAGAAAAACGCCATCAAAGTGCCCTCTTTGAAGCCTTCAAGATCAAGAAGTGCTGAAGACTTCACCAGTCCTTCTTGGTATCTTTGAAGGAACACGGCGGCCCTTTTTTACCTTTTTCCGTGACCGGCCAATCCGAAGGGGCTTCTAATGTGCGTGTGCATCTACGACGCCGACGCTGGGGGTCTTGGCTGACGGCTGCGGCAAATGAACCAAGTCTCTAACATCAAAGTCGGAGAGGATCGTCCGATCGAAATGACCAGCATCCGCTGGATACACAAGAAATGGGCATCACCTTTCGCAGAATATCAAGACTGGTGGCATATGGTTCATTGGTAGGGTGTGTGCAAGCCAATGCCAGCTTGCATCCGAAAACAAACATTCCAAAGACATGTGCAAACCTCTCATGCAAAGGAACACCGTGCATCTGACCAAGACTTTCTGATTCTAAAGTGCATGTCAGCATGTTCAAACAAGCAACAACAAGTTGCCCAACAAGCACAGAGCTCCACAACAGCTGCTCCCCCAGAAGCTTACGATCCAGGGGGAGCGCAGGTTTTTGAGGGTTGATTGACTGTGGCTTGGCCAGCTTGAGCAGGGCATCCAGGTGCAAATGTTTTTCTTTCGGGGCCACTGGGCCACCAGGCTTGAAAGGCAACCCCTAATGATTGAGATTGATCAGTGTGAATGACTCCTCTCGAGGCGGAAGAGTCAGAACTATCTACTTGTAGCTATAAGCGTGCTCCATCGTGACACAAGACTGCAGCTCTGCAGCTCCACGTGGAACACGTGGTCGTGAACTCGCTTCGGCTCCGTTCCAGGGGACCCGGAAGAAGAAATCAGCCCCTGGACGCCCTGAGTTATTTTTATTAAAAAAAACAAACATCAGAAATACTGCGAGATCTCTTGCTCGCATTCGCCCTCCTGACTCTCATCCTCTTTCACAGAGACCCAAGCGGCATGCTCATTCTCAACTGACACAATGGAGTCGGAGCCTTCCAAGATATGCCCCAAGTACCCTGCACTGCCTGACATCATTTCCGTGCACATAAGAAGTCGCAAAATGTCGTCTGCACTCGTGTGTTTCGCCTCTTCAGTACGTTCAACAATATCAAGAAGGTCACAACAGTTCCCAACAGTTTGCAGTGTCTCCAGATGCGGCCTTGACCACTTTGATAACCACCAGAGATGATTCGAGCAAACCCAAAATCCATCGAAGCCGAAACATCCGATGCATTCCCATCTGCAGCTTCTGCAGCATCCACCAACAGGTCAGCCCTCTCATCCATCTCCAAGCCCTTCATGCCATCTTTGTAGCGCGGAAACCTGGGAAGTGCTGAGTATTCAATCTTCTCTTCAGGCCAGCTTCTCGGGTGTGGCTATTGATGGGGATGTTGAACCCATCACTCTTGGCGTGAATGAAAGAAAGAATGGATGTTGAACCTTGTGTTCGGGTATGCGCCCTAAGAATTGGTGAAAATTGAGTGGGGGAAAGATGGAAAAAGGACCAGATCTCCCAACGTCCACTGCTAGTAACAAGAAGCTACTAGTAGCAAAGGGCATCGCTACTAGGAGCAAGGACGCTACTGGCCGTACTACTAGTAGTAACAAGAACGCTAGTCTTCTTGGACCGAAAAAGTCCCTTCGCAATGCCGCTTTGGAAACTTTGCGCAAATCTCATGGATCTGCTTCTCGATGAGTCCTTTCGAACCATGCGGGGTCAAAGGCAAAGCGAGCATCTGCAGTAAAGAACGGTAGATCTTTTCCAACTTGCGCCCAACCTGCAAGAGTTTGGAGGCAAACTCAGTACGAACCATTGGCACTCATTGGCAGACCAAAGAGATCAAGAGAAAGGTTGTGTTTCTGCCCAACGATGGTGGGCTTCACAGAATCTCCGCAAACGCTTGGGCCGGTTTACCCGCCTCCCCCGCGAGTTGGGTGCAGCTGAAATTCGCCATAAATTCTAGAGTGCAAAGGTTCTCTGGGATAGGTAGCTTCACTACAGCATTGAACAAAAAAAATACTCCCTTTCACACAGAATGGACCATTGGATAGCCAAGACCTACATAAACTGTACACTGTAGATGATTGTAGGATAACCCCACACACACACACACTGACAAAAACAAAATAAACTCCTCCTTACACTTCTCCCCGCCTCCTCACCCATGCCAAGACCAGATGTGGCTATCTCGTGATAGAAATCCATGCTGGGAAACTCGAAGCGAGTGTCCTTAGGCTGTGCGAGTGCTGCAACTCGCTCCAAGATGCATGCTACATGAGTTCTGCAACGTCCGTTTACAATTGGAGATGGATGAATTCAACACTGCCAAACCGACAAGCGTCTCAAATCGGATTTGGGCTGCCTGGGACCCCAAAACGACGAAAACACAGCCGACGGCGGAACTCGAAATCAACGCCCGGTGGCCGCTGTCACCGTCACGAACTCGGTGCCCCGGTCACTCCCGCGCAAGGTCATACTCCTGGGGGAAGATGACCGACATCCCGCGACGGCTCTGTGGATCCGATCCTGTCCCTTGTGTGTTGTTTGCTAGCGGCGTCATGCCAATAGGTACCCGCCTGCAATCATGTAGGTATATATATATATATACTTACTGTATATTATCATATGTATATATGTCATATATGTGTGTATGTATCTATATATATATATAAATATATTTATGACAAAGAGGTGTGCATCCACCCTAAACTCAAGCAAGCTTTTCGACGCTGGTGTCAAAGTTGCATGTTCTTTCATCATGCTATCCTCCACCCTTGCCACACTTGTCCTCGATGCCCAGCGCAAGGGCCTTGCATTTTTGACAGGTCACTGAGGTGATGTCCAAGCCGAAGCTAAAGTTCGATGAGCCGTAGGGCCAGCCGCACCTCGTATGCCAAGCTGTCACGGGTGAAGCAACCGGTTGCCGCTTGTTCTCATGCACCAGGCCGGCCCTCGATATCACCACGGGTGGAAGCAGACCTTGATGTCGAATGGAGATGGCCATTTTTGTAATGATCTCGGTTTTTGGAGGTGGCGTGCTCGTGTTCTTTCTTGTCCTAGCCATGACTGGCATGGTCTCGAGAGCTTCCTCCGCATATTGAAGAATGACATTGGACTTCCATCGTCCCAAGTAAGCCACTTGAGGTACATGCCAGCCCCTTCGAATGTATTGTAATGCACCTGTCCTTCTGCCTGAATGACCGGAGACCTTCGTGCCGAACAACTTCCTCCAAGCGCCCACGACCTGGCTCTTCTCCACTTCCCCGTTGTCATCTCCATGGGCTATTCTGTCCACCTCGATTGGGGTGTTGTCCAGAGCCGCTTTCGTGATGTTGAATGGGCAGGGTTCGGACCAATCGCAGTCCTGACAGTCGCATTGCAGGGTTCTCTTCAGGCCCAGTGCTTCTTGATCTCCTTTCGAGATCCTCAGAGTCAAGGACACGATTCGATCCTTCGGTTCGATCACAATGTCCTCCTTGTGGGTTGCTGCCAGTTCGACCTCCCTCAGCATCCAGGTGGTAGCGAATGCGAACATCAAAGCTGGGTTGCGCACTGGAACTTTTGTGGCCTCGTTTTGCTCGAGCCTGTAAGCTTCCATCCAGCGATCCTGACTCACTTCCATGGCCTTCTTCGCCGGCCCCCTTGCCCGCTTCAGCGCCCTCGATGCCTGGATGAAAGCACGTTGCAACTGGTGGGTCCAGCTTTTGCCACTCTCGATCAACATGTTCTTGTACTCGGCCAAATAGGTTACGCCCGCTTTGTACTCGGATGAACGGAGTACAGCGCCCACTTGTTCTAGTACATCAACCGACCAACACTCTTGTGTCCCCTTCACGCCCAAATTGACCAAGATCTTGTTGACCGTACGTTGGATGGATGCCTTGGCTCTCCTGGAGGAGTTCGCATAGTATGCCCGCTTGAAGTCCTTCAAGGAGTCCGTGTGTCTGCCCTTGTTCGCCTTGAAGAACTTTGCCGTTTGAATTGCTTTCCTCCATTTTTGGTTCGTCCCCCTGGGACCCGGAATTTCGGGGCTTGAGGTAGGTCTTGTCTCCTCGAGTTCACCTCTGCTTTTCGTTTCAAACCTTCGCGCCGACGTGGGAGATCACCAACCATTGCCACCGCCGCTCTCCTGGGCTTCTCCTCCTCTTTCTCCTTCTTTTCTTCAGTCGTCCTGCGGGGGTCCTTCTTCCTCCTCGTGATGAAGGCTGCCAAGCCCCCCTCAGGCTCTTCGAGATGTTGGGTATCCCACCATAGTGTTGGGGGTTGAGGAGGGAATTCCGTCAACCTCGGTTTGCCATGCCCCTTCGTCGAACTCGTGAAAGAGCTCGTTCATAGTTGCCAGCTGTCCTTCGAATTCAGCCTCCTCGTTACTAACCATAGCATGTCCCCTGACTCGCGGACTGCCTCCCTCAACGGCGGCGAGTTCCTCCCTTCTGAAGTGTCCACTTCCCTTCTCCTCGGCCTCCGATCCCCATGGCGACCTCATTGAGGAAAGAGAGTGTCCATCTCTGTAATCCTCGTTGTATTCGTGGTATCCCTGTGGGCCTCCCTGTCCAGTCGAGCCAGCATGTTCGCCCACGGTGTTGGCCCCGGGGACTCCAGGTGCCTGCGTCGAAGTCCATCTGTCGGGGTCCACGCCATCGTCTCGTACTCGCCGTCCATGTCCCATGGTTCCTGCCAAGCTTCGTCCTCCATCTCCTCCACCCCTTTCGAATCGCCTTTGGAACTCCGCGGAGGATTCAACAGGTTGAGTATCCACTGGCGACACAGCTTGTAGCCAAGCCAAGCTACCACGAGGTGGGTCAGCAGCCCGATGGCGATGAGGTAGCAGAGAGAGTAGAACTGCCATGGGTAGGGCCACCGAACCGGCGCGAGCGGCGTGGCCGTCAGGGTGGTCGAAGCAACGACCTCCATCTTGGGCCCAATCATCTCGTCTCGGACGGCGAAACCCGATCCTAAAACGACGAGAAACGGCGGTCGACGGCGAACCCGGTTCAGAAGAAAGGTTGCACATGTTCGCCCTCCCGCCCTACCTAAAATCCTTGCACCTTTTCCTTCACGGCTCCCGTCAGTGACGGTATGCCCATGCACGCCGCCAACAAGGCATCGGAATCCGGCCATTCGGTGGAATCCGGTCCAGGCGGGTGCATGTACCAGCCGACCGTCCGCTGCTCTGGCGTTTCGATCGTGATGCCCTCTAAAGCTGCTGGTAGCGTCGTCGTCGCCCACGTGTCCGGGCAAGACAAGAAATCCGCCTCCTTGTTGGCTATCCCCGGGAGGTGAACTGGCATGATGTCAGACAGCCCAAGGCCTTCGCAGGCCACTGCCAGTTCCGCTCCCAAGAAGTTGAGTGCTGAGCCGCTGTTTGAAAATTTCTGCGTCATGGCCAGTGCCGTGATTGAGTCCGACTGGACGGCCACCGATACGCTCACCGATGCCAGCAGCCAGCCCCAGTGCTTGAGCGCCACCAGGATGGCCAGTGTCTCAACTATCCCCTGTGAGCTCGATTCGCCAAGCGCGAACCCCAGGAGCTTCGAGTCCTGTTCCACCACTGGCGACGCAAGAGCCTTCGTCACCCTGCCATTCACCAAGAGTAAGGCGCCCAAACCCATCGGCGAAGCATCGGTCATCAAGGTGGCCTCCGCTTTGCCACTCTTGTACAAGCTGAACTTCCTGATCGGCCTGCTTTGAGCTGCCTTCAGATAAGCCACCAACCATCGTCTTGCTTCCTCGACCCGCTTGACCGCAACCAAGTGGTCCTTTGGGCGGCTGTCCTTTCGTCGAGTTCGCCTTTCCGCTTCCAAACCCTTCGCCACGTCCTCCTCGTGGTCGTAGAGTGCCGCATACAGTGTGGACGTCACCCATCGTGCACGGGGTAAAATCCCCGCCAGCCACGCCACGCGTCCTGCTGCCTTTCGCAGTTCGTTCGTTCCGATCATGCCCTTCTTCTCCCAGCTACTCAGCTGATCTTGGAGCTCCTTCATGAACTTCTCCGGCAGCGTCACCAACAAGTGATCGTAGTCCGGGGCCACCAGCTTGAACTTCACCCCCATCCAAGTTACCGCTGCTGCCCGTTCGCCCTTTGAAAGCAACACTTTAAGGCCCAGTGCTGCCATCGTCGTGAGGATCAAGGCAAGGGTCTGGTTCCGGGTCGCCAGCTTCCCGCGCAGTACCCAGAAGGAGTCGTTCAGGTAGACTTGGCGCATGCCTTGTTCTGCTGGGACGATCGCCTGCACAAACCTGGCCACCATCGCCGCCACCCTCGACCACGTCAGAGGCGCTGTCAGAGCTACGAACAATAGCCAATGTTCGTTGTCCAGTGCCGGTGCCAGGCAATGCCCCTTCTCCTCCTCCGCCATTGCTAAGTGCATGTAAGCGTCCGATATGTCGATCATGACGAGCTCCATCACCTTCGCCTGAGGGTCGGACACTTGGCTGTGGGTCGCGTGCATGCGCCTCAACATGGCTATGGCGTCCACTGGCCTCGGCAAGACCAGCCTCTCCGGCAAGTAGGCCTTGTTGTTGCCTCCTGACCTCTTCAGGTCGATGATGATGCGGCGTTTCGTGGAGCCATCTTCTTTCTTCTTCACTATCAAGCCCAACTTCGAGACTGTCGTCCCCTTGAAGCCCGCCTTCTCTATCTCCTTCTTCGGGACCTTGATGACATATCCCAGTTTGGTCAGCCTCCCAATCTCCTCCCTGGCGTCTTCCTCCTGCTCCACCACCGACACGTAGTTTGCGATGTCCTCCTTCAAGCCTTGGACCGCTTGCAATTCACCTTGCATCGCCGGGAGGTCCTCTTTTATCGTCGGAGGGAAGATGCCACACGTACCAATCTTCTTGTTGATCCCCAAAGGCACTCCTTCTTTGATCCACTTCGGCACTTCAGTTTCAGGGTCGTTCCCTCTGCGTCCCCATGCTTCGAAGAGGTTGCCCTGTAGTGGTGATCTGAAAGATCTTCGCTGAGGCACGAATCTGAGTCTGAACAGCTGGAAGACCAAGACCGCTTCTTCCCTCTTGCGGAACCATCAAGGGATTGCCCAGGAGACAGTGGTGGCTGGTGCATTCCGGTCATGCAGCAAGCTGATATTGACATGAGATTCGTCCCCAAGGAAGAGTTGGTTCAGTCCCTCCTTTCCAGTGAAGAACAGGAGAGATTGTGGCACGATCAATTTGATTTGGTCCCTCTTCGTTCACACATCATTCCGGAGATGGTCCTGTCCCTTCATGGTTGGAGCCATGCGAGGCTCAGTCTGACAAGCCAACAGATTCTTCAAGAAGCTACTGCTGTCAATTGTGCCTATCACTGGAAGCATGCGGCTGACACACACATTCTCCATGGGGTGGGTGAGCATCAGAGCTGTGCTATCTGGGCTACTCTATGGGAGGAAGCCATCACCACTGAGGGACGAGCCACTTTCAATCTTCTGATCACACCTTCAGTTCAGGAGGGATCTTTCATGATCAAGGCACAACTCCGATCGATGGTGCCTCTTCCTCCTGCTCAGTTCATGCTATGGTGGGCTGTCCGGGCTGTGAGAAGCACTTTGGATTGTATCAAGGTCTCGGAGGGAGTGTTTGTGGCTCTGAAATGGTGCAAGAGATTACTGTGGGAAGGGCATCTAGCGCCCGAGCTGGGCTTTGATCAGCTTTTGGCACTGCTTCAACAATTGTGGAACCCTGTAGTGGATTCAGAGGAACTGCGGTTGATTCATGGGTTCTCTGCTTCACGCATCCTGTCAGAGCAGAAGTTGGGGCATCTTCGCCATATGGATCAGCGTGGCCATGCTTATGTCCTCCACATTCTCACCCGGATTCAGGGTGGGGGCAGCGGTGGAAAACACCCTGAAACTGTTGCTGTCAAGAACGAGATTGCCAGCATCCTACTGGATTTGCAATACGACATTGCCTGGGTTTCCAAGACCGTTGACACCCTTTTCCGGCACATTGGCTTTACTGCTGCTGCAGCCTTACTTCGTGGTAATGACGGCTCGAAAGGGAGGGGGATTCTGCAGGCCATCGAAAGTGTCGGTGTTGATCTTCCTCGCAAGAGATCAGGTGCCCAGGATTCACAGAGCTCTTCCAGGCTGGCTCAGGTTCAGAAGAAAAGGGCACCCCAGATCGATCTTTCTGGTGTCACCATCATGAAGGGTGGATTCCCCCTTCGCGCCCGTCAGCTTCTTCAACTCCTCACGCCACTTTGCCACCAGTCTGTCATCCCACTGGCATTCCTTGGATCCATAGGTCTCGCCCACCTTCACTGCCGCAGGGAACTGGCTGCTGAAGCGTTCCCAGGCCCCCAGGATCCTCCTCCCCAAGTTCTGCAACGTCGGGAGGCCCTCTACCACTTCAGTTGGGTTCTTCATGCCCCCGATGAACTCCTGTTGGCCCAGTTGCTGCTCCTTCTTCTTCTCCTCCTTCAGCAATCCATATTTCCCTTCTCCTGGCTTCCACTTCAAGTCCACTTTATCCTTCTGGTCCTTGCGCTCCGCCGTGCTGTCCCTTGTTCTGCGGTCCTTCTCCCCGCGTTCTACCTTTACCCCCCTCCTAGATCTGGACCTTCTCCTCGACTCTGACCTTCTCCCTTGTCTAGCCCTTTCTCTCCTCTCCTCTTCCTCTTTCCTTCCGGGCCTTCTGTCTCTGCTCCTCCTCTCCCTGCTCCTCCTCCTTTCTGTCGTTCCTTCTGCTTTCTTCCCTTCGTCGCGGCGTGAACTTCCGTGACCATCTTCGTCCATTCTTCTCCTCTTCCATCTCCTTTCTTCCCTTTGCTGAGTCTTCTCTGCCCTCTCGTTTTCAGGGGTTGGTGAATAACGGACACCTTCTTTCTTTCTCTTCTCCCTCATCTGAGTTGCTGCCGCGTCACTGGTGGAAATGCCATCGTGGTCCTGTTCCTCCTCCTTCAACCTCCCTTCCAGGTACTCCGCCGTGGCCATCTTCTCGAAGTGCTCCATGAGCAATACCGCGTAGCTGTTGCACAACTCCCACGGGTACTCGCCCGACTCCTGCGACTCCTTCTTCCCGATGATTGGCCTGTGTTTGCTGTTGCTGCATTTGTACTCCCGGTTCAAACTCTCGATGCCAAAGAGCGAGCCTGCAAACTGCTGCATCTTCCAGTGTCTGTCGCCTCTCGCCCTGTCTGATTGATAGGCGCATGTGTTGAACAGGGAGATCTTGATGCCAGGCAACCTCAAATAGCCGATGACTTCAGCCATGCCCCAAGCGGACACATGTTCTTCTAGCTCCGATGGCGGCGGGTTCTCGAGTGTGGTGACCTTCGGGACGATGAGGGAGGTCTGTCTTCATCACTTCCTCTGCCATTTGAACCGATCGGGCCATCATCACTGTTCCTCTGTCGCACTCCCTACGTTGTTGTTCATTGTTTGAACTCCTTCCGTAGGGTTCGGCCCGAGTGCGAACAGGTTCTGGGAGGTTTGGCCCTGCCCTGAACCTCAGTCGCGAAAACGTCGCACATGGGAATCCTGAATGAAACCCGTCGATCAGGCCTTCCTGAGCCCATCGTAGATGCGTGTTGTAGGGCTCGTCAGCGCATAGGTCATCACCCCAGTCCTTCTCCACCGCGATGACTTCCACGTTGAGGCCCTTCTTCTTCGCCACCCTGTGTATCTCTGCGCCCAACGGGTCACGAGGTCCTGCAAAGTGATGAACGAAGCGAAACTTCCTCCTCCGAACGTAGGCCTTGGGCTTCTCCTCCAACTTCTTCTTTGCTTCTTCGCTCACCTCCCCACCTTCTTCACCTCCTGGATCATTTCCACCTTCCTTCTTGTCCTCCTTCTCACCTTCGTCACCGCCTGGTTCTTTGTCTCCGGATGACCCGGCGAACCGCACGAAGAGCATCGATGCCCCCGCTTGATCGAATTCATACACTCCGCACCCGGTGGGAGCGCCCCGCATGGCGAGTTCCCGTTGTTCCACGAGAAACAAATAGATTCGCTCTGTTTCCCTCCTTTTCCCTTTCGGCCGGCGCCCTTCCCTCCTTGGCCTCGACCGTAGGAACCTTCGTGTCGTCCTTCTCGGAGTCGATGGAGTTCTTCCCTTTCCGCGTGCCATTTTCTCTTCTTGGCTTCTCGTCTTTCTTTGTTGACTTGCTTCCTGGTCGAACTGGAGGCTGATGGCGACGCTGTCCCAAACGTTCCTGACTCCATCGATGGTTGTAGTGCCTCTGCTCCTCCACGCAAGGCTCCTTGGGCGACCGTCTCCTGCGGGGTGAGTGCTTTTCCTTTTGAGCCGCTCGCTAACCACGTGAGGGCTGGACCATGAATCTGGTCCTGCCAAAACTTCAGTTCGCCCGGAATCATTTTGAACACCGTCTCCCATGGTTTCTTCTCGTCGAAGAGCGATGGGATTGGCCTGCCTTCCTTCTGGTCCAGGTTGATCTTGATGCGGAGGCGTGACAACAGCTCTGACCTTGCCATCTCGTCTGCCGAGTACACCAGGTGCCAAGCGTCGGGGTACAGCCTCGTCAATTTCTCCACATAGAGCTCGTAGGCGTGCAGTGGTGCCAAGGTGCATTCTTGCAGCATCAACATGGCCGTAGTGAACACCCTGTAGCAAGCCCTGCACTGGGTGAAGTTCGCAGGTCCTGGAAGCTCCTTCGACACGTAGCCCTCTGCTGTCGGTATCCATGTCCTGTACTTCGAGGCTCTCAGAGCCTTCCGCCCGAACGGGACGAAGACACCGAAGTCGCAGTAGGGTGGCTTGCCCAAGGCCAACTTCTTCTTCAAGGCGCTGAGCTGTTCGATGGTTGGTTCTTCCTCCTCCTCCGGCATGGCTCCCGTCGTGTTGACGTACCTCTGCAAAAGAACCATCTTGTCCTCTTCGTTGAGCACCTCGAACTCCCCGTCGTCTCCTTGGTCCAGGACCTGGGTGAACTTCAATGTCCTCTCCTTCGACTCCTTGATGGACTCCCCCGGGCTTGTCGCTTCCCTTCTCGCCGATGATCTTCCCGGTGATGTTGGTGTAGGCGACCATTGATCTTCTTCCTCCCACCTGTCCCAATCGCCGCCACCTTTCACAAACATCAGACGCCTCGCCAGCTTCCACACCAGTCCCACTTGGGCCGCCTGAATGGCCGTCAGGCGAGTATCTCCCGGCAACGTGGCCTGAGAAAGGACCAGATTGCCCGGCAAGGCCGCCAGCAACCGAAGGTCGTCGTTCGGGTTCCCGGCTTCCTGAATGAAGGCCTGCCACAAATCCTGAGGGACTCCGAAGTAGTCCTTCAAATCCGCAATCGACCGCATCTCCAAGGCGACCGCCGCCGCTGGAAACATGGCGGACCGCGAGCGTCACCGCCCACCAAAACAACATGGTGGGGCCAGGGCTTGAGCCAAAATGGCATACTCAGCCCTGGCCCCACCCAGCACACCAAAACTTGTCCTACAGAAAATGTGCCATTTTCTTCCACATATATATATATATATGTATACGTTTGTAGACTCAATGAACAACATGTTTGGCATACTTTCAAGTGCCCTGCTCGGGCAGTTGAGACCCTGCTTGCATTTGCAAATGTCCACCGTTCATGGCCTGTCCAAACTCACCAGCCGGTGTGTCTGTCCTTGAGCGACTTCCACCTGGGGTTGAACCGCCCCAGCCCTTAAATTGCAGATAGCTCTCCAGCATAATCATGGCAAAGTGTGGTTCTCGTAGCAAGCCCCGTGAGAGCACCACCACCACATAGGATGCATAGGGAATACTGCTACGGGCCTCCTCTTCTGTGCGGATCACGGAGCACAGGACCTGCAGCTTTTGTTGAATCATCTCCTCAACCACTTCGCACACCGAAAGCGCTTCGGCATCTCCCACAGCGCCAGTGATCAAAATTCGAGCCTTACTGATGGAGCCTTCAATCAGTGAGGGTCGTGTCCGCATGCTAATGCGGCAACGCACTGCTACGTCATTGATGACCTTCATCTTCTCCGCAGAACTACCAAAGCGAGGCATCTGGAGGTCGATCAAGAATTGGATGCTCTTGTAGGCATTGATCACATCAGCGCCCATGATGCCAAAACATGCCAGTGAATGCTGCTCTTCGGCCGTCCACAAATGGGGGATGGCCTCAATTTCGGCATCTCGGAGTGGGCGAAAATCATCGCAAGACACGGGAATGATGACGATGCGATTCTTGTAGGCCGTGGCAATCCTCAAAAAAAAACAAGCACTGTCTCCGTGTGTGTGGTATATCAGGACTCAGGCAGCCAAGGCAAGCACTTGTTGAGAACCTAGCTGCCATGTACTATTGCGTCATTACCCAAAAGTCAAATGTTGCGAACAGTTCTCAAAATCAATTAAAAATCGTTGCCGTTTACTATGCGCTTGGGAGACACAGCACTTATCTATATCTATATATACACAGTACAGCAAATTTGCAGGAAATTCAGCTCTGGCTAGCTGTCCGTCCCTCTCTCGTGGCTTGAATTGCTGTTGGTTTTGCAGGTGGAATTTGGGGCCTTCTAGGACACCAGGGACGCAGGGATGTGGTCTGGTTGCTGTAACTAATTAGTTTCATTGAACTCCCCATTCTTCCCTCAACATCATGTTTCATCCTTTTTCCAACACACCTGCTCTGCTCTGCTCTGAGGAATGTGAGCAAGCAAACACCAGAACCAGGAACAACGTAACACCCCCTCCTTTTCTTAAGGTGCTGGCTCTTGCAATAACCCCACATTGAACTGCCAGGTGCAACAAGGGCCATCATGTCGGGTGTGAAGTTTCAAGGTTCCATCTGCGCCTGCCTCCAAGACAAACACAGGATTCCAGGATCAGGATGGGGAAGAATATGAAGAAACAACTCACATCAAGCCCCCCGAACTGAAGTCGAGGCTCTCACCGGCACATCACATCCTCTTGAAGAGTTGCTGGGTCAATAAAATGACCTCAGTGGCAATACGTCGGCCACTGGCAGTGGAGCGTCACTCTTCAAGTACCATCAAGTACCCCATAGACAAACGACTCTTGATTCATCACCCCCCCATCCCCTCCATTTGGATGGAATTATGGTAGCAATAGACCCCAAACAATTTCAGCATTGTTTGTTTGGCGTCAACTCCATGAGGTAACGTCTGTATTGGGAATGGCATGTAAGCAAAAAGAATTGTCAGAAAACAATGGTTCCTGATTCCTGAGGTTGTCACATGTGTAAGTACGAGGGGATGTGTAATGTATGTCATGAGAAAATCCGCAGATGATATCAAATGCTGCCTCACTGGCCCATTCAGAACCGCACGAAAACATACCCGGGCAAAACTTTAAAACGGTGGAAAGAGGGAAAACGGTGTTGCCAAGCAGGGGATAAGGCCAGGACAAAGCGATGAAGGGTCGGCAACGCCGACAAGCAGGACAAACCTGGACAAGGCCTGGACAAAACCCTCACGAGGCGAAGAGACCCACGGCACCCTGCCCATGGCGCGGCCAAGCAGGACACACAGACCCAGACAAGGCCTGGACAAGGCCCGGACAAGAGGACGACGCAAGGCAGGAGGACAGCAGCAACACGAAAGGAAGACACAGCTCGCAACCGCGGCCAGAGGACGGCAGGAATACAAGAGGAGGACACCTGGGTTTGCGAGCGCGGCCAAAGGAGCAGGAGGACACGAGAAGGACAGCAGGAGGACACCAGGACAAGAGGAGGACGCAGGGTTGGCCAGCGTGGCCAAAGGACAACAGGAGGACAACAGCCAGAGGACAACAGCAGGCAGGACAAGAGGAAGACAAGACCCGGACACAAGCCCGGACACAAACTTCAGGGGCGCGGCCAGCCAGTGTGACCAGCTATTTTTTCCTATGAGAAAACCCCAACAGTAAACTGTTTGGGGGGAAACCTCTTATGAAGACTTGTCTATGGAGGGCTTGAGTTGTCTACAAAGTCTTGTGCTATGTGAGTTCAAACCTGCTCAAACCCAGGTCGGCCAAGCGCAGGTGGCAAGTGGACGAAGGAATCAGGATCCAAATGGCCCAAGCACCAGTCTGTCTGTGCGTGAGTCATTGTGGTTGTCAGTGGTGCACTCGGGTTACTCCTGTTTCCTTGGTGCCTTAGACTCCAGAGGTGTTGGTGCATTTGTTGCAAGGCATGGACCATAAATAGGCCTTCTATATGCTTCTAGTCCTTCTATCTCCCACAGGTCGGACAGAAAAAAGAGCCTCGTGAAGCCTCCCTCCATCGACAGCAGTCTGGCCGAGCGACAAAATGCCGCGTCCGGTCGCGCACCGTTTCAAAGAGTGTATCAAGGCTGTCCAGGGAATCAGCATCGAGAAATACACGGCAATTCCCTTGGGAATTCATCGTGAGCCTCGTGGGAAAAGGTCTGCTGGCTCTAAAACATGTGAAACTCGCCCAGAACCGCTCTGCCTGTCAGACCCTGAAAACCGATGACATGCCTCTTCATATTGGCTTGATTGGTTTAGACATGTTTAGACCAAGTGACATAATCTTCACGTACCTTGCTAAGGCTCCACCTCCTCCTTTGTGATGGCAAAGGAAAATGTCCCACTTTCGGCTGCTGTCCCATGAGCGGCACCCCGACCACACCACCGCGCCCAGGGCGAGCACCACCGGGGCCAGAACGGGAACACCTGAGCGTAGCCGCTACGCGAATCGCTCATGATGGCGGGACATGGACCGCCTACTGCATTGGATCATAGAACTTGCAAGAAACTGCACCCCCCAAAAAAAAAGAACATAAAAGAACACAACAATCCGAAACTTTCAATCGAGTCGTATGACGGGTTCGCGCCATTGAAACAAACCGCAGACCTACAGCGACGTGCCCGAAGGCTCTTTCAGACATCTTTCGTGACAAATTTCCGCAAACATCTCTTGCCCAAAGCTGCCAGGCTGCATAGCATGTACCCCAAAACCAATGTGGCTTCCACCTGGTCGATGTCCTCAATCGCTCGGTGGCAAATGCGGTGGCTTCACGCCACATTATGCACTTGTAGGGCACAAGCAAGCAGGTTCTTTCAATCTTATTCCCAAGGCTTTTGATGCTTCTTGCAATTATCCACATCTGTGCTGACTTTCACGGTTCCATGGGCAAACAGCCTACTTTGGCGGGGACATGTTCGTGCGGTTCTGGGACTATACTTCAGGGCCCCCAACTCCAGTGCACGTGAGGTCCTACCAGCCTAGCTATGCCCATTGTAAACGAGTAATTGGTCAAAGTCATGGTTTGTCATAATGCCCTGTCTTGAGATATAGCATGATATAGCAATCAGCCAAGGTGCCAGCAAAGGAGCAACTCCAAGCAACGTCAACATCAGGAAGCTGTTCATGAGCATATCGACCACATTGGCCGTCCTAGTCCTGCCACAACAGCCGTGAGGCAACAGCCTCATCCCCAGCTCGTGAAGGCTGGAAACTAAAGCGGCAGGAATGTCCAAGCCCTGCCAAAATGGAAAGATCATACAAAATAAGAAACCAGAAGACGCTCGCTGGAAGGCAAATAACTGCTGGTTATTGCAGTAAGTGAAATCCATTGATACATCCCTCGTGTGAATTTAGCTGACACCCCCCGCAGCCAGTATGCTGCGTGAGGGTGTCATCAGACCAGCACCCGCTCCTCCATGGCCAAAAGCGCAACTGCGCCACCAAGCTGACCAAGAGGAAAAAACCAACCATTGGAACTTGCAATGAAGGTACAGGCACCAGAACAATTGGCGTGAGAGCCAAGATGAAGTTTCGCACCAAGATAAAGAGCCCAAACCCATAACCTGAGTCGATCGTGGAATCGTGCACAAAGTCTTTGGCTCGGAAAGCTGGAAGGCTCAAGATGCCTTTCCTCCACCTCAAGTGGACAACGCCGCGCAACACTTTTGCTTGAAGCGCTGGAAGAAGAAGCGGTAGCGGTATAGCAAAGTCAAGCCCTTCCCTGCCAGCATGTCGCAAGGGTGTTCAGGGAAGAGTCCAGTCATACGACTGGTACAACGATGTCTTGCACCATGCGCTCTCTAGATCTAGAAAATTTCGGGGGAAGGAACACTTTCCGAAGTTTGCGGATCGAACTGCAACGTGATGTGCAAGTGCAATGAATTGGTGCGTCGATGGGTACTATGAAGGTATCCCTACCACTTGAGTCTCACTTGAGATTGTTGAGCTTGGCGCCGTGGTCGCGGGTGGTTTCACGCGCTCAAAACGCCGGTGGGCTGCTGAGGTGTGGGCCACGTTGTTGAAGCGTTGCGTGTGGCGGTTTGGGGCCGGCTTAGGATTTGTGCTACAGGTGTTCTCTTTCCACGGTTGCAAAACCTGCAAGCTTCGGCTCTAGCCTGATGCTGCACGAGCAGGATATTGATATGTGGTCCAAGCAGCCCAGCTGATAATGCCAGCAGGATACCTGAGACTGGCAATTTACCGTCTATGGCACAATATAGGACTTTAGGGACAACACGCGAAGTATACTAAAGTCCTCTCTTGGGCATCTTAGGCTATATCAACTACTAACTACAACACTGTTGGCTCAAGACCCAGTTGCACCAGGATCCCAGCAGCACCGATGCACGCTAAGAGCGTATGATCAGTGGAGCGGTAGCAAATCACGCCAGGGTTGTTGGCCATCGAGCTTGTGCCGTTGGGGTTGGGCAAACACTGAAATGGCATCAGGGTCGTCAGCGAGAGGCCTAATGAGAATGCAAACCTGGGAGAAGGGTGGTCGGGTCAGTGGAAAAGAAGCGGGCACAATGCTAAGGCTCTATGGAAAATCCAGCACTTTTCACGGACCATGCAATGTTCAACCGTATGATCTCCCCAGCTCAAATACGATTTATGAACGTGCTGCTAGGATCAGTCTGAGCCGATGCCAGATAGGGTATTAGAGATATGATGATATGATCCAATATTACACCGGCAACTCATTTCACCTAAAACACAAAGGATCGCCCACACATGATACATTTCTAGTCGTAAGGCTCGTGCTTTTCTCCACATCAAATTATGGTGACCCCACTTTTTCCAACAGTACCTACAAACTAATGTCCCCCACAGGTGTTCAACATGACTTTCCTATATAGGTGTACTTGGACCCGGGGAGGCCAAGAAAAGTGCAAAAAAAGGTGCAGAAGCTGCTAACTAGTGACAAGGGCATCGCTACTAGTAACAAGATGTTCCTTGTTGCAAAAAGGGGACAGAATCAGCCCCATGATGTTGAACAAGTGATCGAAAGGGATTCGATGTCGTCCGCATGCACGTTGAAGCAGCCAAATTCCCACCACGCCAAATACAAGTACCGGGAACGTCCTCACTCAGCAAGTGGTTCTGCCAAGCCCCGAAACAAGCGGTGGCTTACTTCAAATGAAATGTCAGTTCATAAGGCAAAAAAAAAGCATTATAGTAGGGCCAGCATCAGTAGTTGACCTATCAGCTTGACAGCTGGATGATCATACTGGCTTGCACAGGCAATCTTCAAGAAGTCAAGGTCTATCCTGAGTCACAGGCAATCTTGGAAAACCTGCCAATTTGTGCCATCATATGCATATACACACACCGGGACCTAACGGTTGAACAAAGAAGAAGTGTATATATATATATATGTGTGTGTGTGTGTGTGTTCAATATCTATGCACATTTGGGAGCCCCTTTTTGGAAACATGTTGGCCCGGGGGAGGGCTCTTAGTAGTTTACTGAACTCCGACAACGCCACAGAACACATCATAAAACATCGGCGACATCACTGAACTTAACACGAATGAATTGAAATCCGGCAGTAATGCAAATCAAAACTAAATACTAATCTTCAACATGTTAATAACAACTGGCCCTCACAAAGCCGCAACAGGCTCCACAAACAAAGAACTTGTAAATGACTAAACTTCACAACCTCGACATACTCCAAAAGTATCATGTTGACCTTCAAGAAGGTCCCCAAAGATTGTAAAACGCTTGATTGTCCTGAGCCTGTCGAGGCTGTGAAAATCACATGTAGTATTTAATATATATATATATCTCTCTCTCTCTCTCCCCCCCTCCAAGAGTGCAGCTCAAATGCATGTAGTATTATTAAGAATGTACATGAATGTACTACAGATTTGATTCATTGCCATTCGCCTTACTTCAGGATGTCAATTCATGTGTCTCTGCGCGTGTGTGTGTGTGTGTGTGCCACGTCCTGCTCCTAAGGACCTCTGACACCGTGATACCTTGTTTAACCACCGTTGTGCGGGCTGGAGTGTGCTTCAGATGTCAGAGTTACGTACCTGCATTCCTTGTTGTGATGTTCACAAGCTGTCACACCAATTTCCGGTAAAGGGCCAATGCGCTTTGTTGAAACATTATGTTTTTGCTGACCGATCACCCTTGCGGTTCTGCAAGTCAAGCGCTAAGTATTCACCTAAAGTGCTAGCTTTCGGGAAAGTCATATATAACTTGTGGATCTAAGTGCGACATGAGTTGATTGATGTCCTTGAAGGGCAGGTGCGGAGATCGGGGGGGGTATTGTTATTTATGGTGTATAAAAATGCACATGGTATATTATATATAATATGTATATAAGTAATGTAGTGCAAGGTAGCGTGACGTAACTTGACATGGTACGACATGATGCGACGTAATTAACATGCATGCATGCATGCATGGTATTTGAACGATACATCGAAGGAAATGAACACCAGAAAAAGACGTATTCTTCCTTTGGGCACCCGGTCCAGGTCTGAGGTAGACCCCGGCTAGACGTGTCTGTGGACTGGGCCCTGTGACCACCTAGCTTAAGGTCTTAGGGTTGGATGAAGGGTGTCCCGTTCATCGCTCCTAGTAGCCATGCCCTTTGTTCCTAATAGTGTCCTTGCTCCGAGTAGTGCGGCCAGGAGCCCCTGGTAGCCTCTTGTTCCTAGTAAGGCCAGGAGTCACAGGTATAGCGTCCGATCGCTGCTAGTAAGGCCAAGGGTCATGGTGATCAAGTCGGCGAGGCTGATGAGGCTTTTCACCGGCTCAGGCCATTGGATGTGCAACTGCCGAATGGTCGAGAGCGTTTGGATAGTGAAACAGAGCTGATTGGCCACGGCGGCGATGGTCAGCTTGTTCAAGTTCGAATTGGACATCTCAGTGTTCATCCAGGTCACCAGCAAGCTGACCAGACACCAAACTCCAAGAATGGTCAGGTAAAATGGCAAGGCATCGGTCGGCTCGCAGGCTGAGCAACTTCCACTGTCTGTCGGATAGTATCCTTACTAACTTGCGGATGCAAAGATTCCCTCCCCCAACAATGATCAGTAGTCAGAAGCAAGACCGTTGCCACATTGTGCACAAATCGAAGCGTGACAACAAGGAAAGAACGTTATCAAACAGGACAACGTTTCTCGCAAAAAACATGAATCGGGGCAAGCAGTTGTTGCAGGCTGTGCCCTCACGATGGTCTGCACAAAGCTCTGGATCGCCTTTCGGGCACTCAAGTTGATTGCGACAAAGGAGCACTGAATACCTGCGATGTCAAAGTACGGGAGGCCGGCGAACGCTTGAGGTACAAAAGTGCGGCAAGAAGTCCCTGAAGTAAGTTTGGTCCCCAAGTAATGCCCCAAATAGGAAAGTTACCAAGAACATTCATGTCGACTCTGCATGTAACATGCACCATGAACAGTGTAGTGTGTCATTCAGCCTAGGCACTGGCCGAGACCAGAATCGATGACCTGCGCCCAGTAGCCCTCTCGTTGCTTTGGAGGATCCAGCCCTTGCACACAGACCATGCCGTCTGGGCAGCCCACACATCCATTGTGGGTGATAAACTTGCCATGAGCACACACGCAAGCGCCCCTGGTCACCGAACCGCTTTCAGCCGTGATCATTCCCATGCCACATGGTCTGCATGTAGTAGACGCATAATCAGAGGCATACGAGCCAATTGGGCATCGCTCGCAGTTTTCCCTCCCTTTCTCACCCTGGAAAAAGCCTGGCACACAGGGGGCCGGAATGCTGGTCCCGGCTGGACATCCATAACCAGCCGGGCAACTCTTGCATTCACTGCCTCCCTCTTCAGCCATGAACTTGCCCACTTCGCAAACTTCGCAGCGATCTCCTCGTCCAAATGAACCTGGTGCGGCATGAAGCTCCGACGCTGGCGGATGCTCAGCTGATGCATGAATTTGTGTGGGTCATAGCCTGCTGAAGAAGGATAGTTGTTTAGATGAACCCTCGTAAAACTTGACTTGAGCAAACAGCCCACAGGACTGACCAACCAGCTCACAGTGACAAAGCGCACCAGTCGCCTGGAGGGCAAGCCTTGCATTGTCGTTGGCTGCCAACAGTTTCAGATATCCACCCGCTGGGAAAATCCTGAGAAAAGGCTTGGCAGGCGCAATTTAGGAAGTGAAAAAAATCTCGCCATAAAAAAGAGAGACAAAGAGAGAGGAAAGCTTGGTAGCCCCTATGCAGTCAATGCAGTGACTGCAGCCCAACTGGCAGAACACAAAAAAACAAACAGCAACTAGACGACGAGTGGCCCGAAAGCATTTTTCATCACGTAGGAAGTCAGAGTGCGAGTTATCCGGTAAGTGTGCAGTGAGAAGTGTGAAGTCGGGTGAGTTGAGGTAGTGTGTGGGCTTCTGCGCGTGTGTCTATGTCCGTGTGGAAATGAGTCTGCGTATGTGTGTGCTCGTGTAAGTTGAGGGAGTGTGTGGGTGTCTGTGTGTGATGCGGCCTCCCAAACCCCCCACCGGCGGCCAAGCGGTGACAGCCCAGCTCATCGTCGTGAGCATTTGGGCTGCTGGTAAGGGGAGAAGCAGCGTGCACGGCGCCAGGAAAAGCTCATGGAAAAAAACGAACCGGAATGAGGACACAAAAGTGCCGAGGCAGGTGCGCCAGAAGTGTCTCGAAGCAGTGACCTGTCAGAGGAGATGAACGAAGTAGCGCGCAGGCCTCCCAAACCCCCAC